ATCAGAAAGCCAAGGCGTAGTATGTTGGGAAGCGATACGATAAGAACGCAATACGGTCTGTCAACTTTGATGTGACAGGATGCAGATGGCTTATTAAATCGGACTGTACGACAGAAGCGGCGTAATTAACATTCTGATGCAACGATTAGAATCGATTACGATTACGATTATGATAGAACCGAATACGATTACGAATACGAAGGGGATATATAGGAAGGCGACGGCTGAGCTCGCCGCCTCTCTCTCTCTCGATCAGTCTGTCAGTGTGGCAGTATCAAGTTGGTTATTGAACGGGTTAGCCGTATTGTGTTAAGAAGGACGATAGACATGTGCATTCAGTTATGTGAAGACTAGTGAGGACTGTTGGGGGTCAGTTGATTCAGACTATTATTGTGAAGCATTCCTTTTGATTCATTATATTATTGTGAAGCATTTCTTTGATTCATGTAATAAAAGGATCAATAGCGAACCTGCATCTTCGAGTATCTATACTGTGGTCGATGTTGTGTAAAATGAGTGGTTAGACTCGGTAACATTTGGCGTTGTCGAGCAGAACTCGTTAACATTTGGCACTACAGGCAAATAGTCTCGTTACATTTGGCGCTGCGGACAGGATGAATTCAACGAGACTTGCCGCTTGAGGCACCCATAGTCAACCTTGTTCATAACTGGGTTTCGTGTGTGTGTGAATTCGGACATTCAGGAACAGTGAAAATTGAGGAACGAGGAAAATTTTTCATACACACACGGTAAGAAAGAACTCTTTTTTTTTACTCAAGGAATAAAATGTCTACTCTGGACGAGAAGCAGACCCATATTGTGGTCCTGCCCAGAGAGTCCCACATTAACAAATTTTACGGGGACGGTGATCCAGCTTTAACCAACAGGTTCAGTGAGGAGGTCAAAGCGGCCTGGGCCTCGAGATACATGTCACCAGAGGAAAGATTAAGACTGCTGATGGGCAGTATAGGAGAGATGGTTAGGGCAGAGGTCAAATGCCACGATAAAACCATCCAATCAGATCCAGATAAGGTGCTGGATCTAATTATGGAGACCTTTGGGGAGAGACGGTCGGGATCGCAACTGCTATCGGGGTTCGTAGGCTTAAAGCAGAGAATGGCGGAGAGTGTGATGGAGTATTCACACCGAATGAACAGGGCCTTTGATTCGGTAAAGGGCAAAACACCTGACATTGATGTACGCCTACTGAGGGACCATTTCATCGAGGGGCTAGCAACCCCGATCTTAAGGAGAGAGTTGAAAGAGGAGGTCCACAAAGACCCGCAGTTGACCTTCCTTCAGGTCAGGAACTCAGCGATCCGCAGGTCCGAGGATGAGGACCAATCGAACTGTTCGGTGGACAAAGTCTCTGTGCCGGAACAGAAACAATCCCCACCCACAGGGACCGGCACGGTGGAAACCATGATGGCTCAACTGTTGGCCCACCTGGATAAGGTTGACCAACGATTGGAGAGGTTAGAAAGCAGGTCAACAGCTGAGAATCAGGAAAAGAACGGGACAAAACAGAGACAGGTTGGACGGCCGCGACCCGCCGGTCCATCGCTCCGGTGGACGGCTGACGGTCGACCAATTTGCTTGTCCTGTTCACAACCCGGACATATGGCACGGTACTGTCAGGGAAACGGTCGTCCTCTGTAAGGCAGGGCCAGGCTACAGAGGGGCGAGGTTATGGCCCAAGAAACAAAATGATGGGAGTCTGTCCCGAAATGGTGATTACGATTGGGGACATCGCGGTGAAGGCAATTGTGGATACAGGCTCCCAGGTGACGACAATTACGGAAAATTTTTACACCAAATGGATGAAAGGAAAAGACCATAGGTTGAGGTCTGACACATGCATGCGCCTGACGGCAGCTAATGGACTAACCATTCCATACTGTGGTTATTTTCTGGCGGATGTCGTGGTGGCGGGACATAGGTTGAAGCAGGTTGGGGTGTTCGTTACGAAACACAACCTAGAGACAAATGTGTCAAATATACCTTGCCTGTTGGGCATGAATATTCTTGGCCAGTTGCCAGAATTTCTTACAAATATTGTCGGATCGACCACACCAGGTCGGGGATCCAAGTTGGCCAGGTTTGCCAAGACCAGAGGAAGGATATCAGTCCCGGCAAACACGGTCAAGGCAATCACATTACAAATTGGTGATAGAACCGTGAATGGTGATGTGATGATAGAACCATGTGGCGCCGCACTGAGGGCAGGCGTCGTGTTACTGCGGACATACACATCAGCGGAGAAGGGACTAGTTCAAGGATTAGTGGCAAATGTTTTGGATGGGGAAATTTTTATACCGCCTAACACTCTGGTAGGAGTACCACAGAACGTCGAGGTACAAAGGTCGGCACAGTGCATCGAACTGAGCAATACCAGCAGTAATGAAGTAACAATTAGGTCGGTCAATGTGACGGCCGAGGTGAAGAAAGAGGATGGCCGATCATATACATTCCCGGAAACTGAGGACCCAAAACTAAATGAATTGCTGAATAAGTACAGGGATATATTTGCCTCGTACGAGGGTGATTTGGGTTACACGGAAGTAATAAAACACCAGATACCCTTACTACAAGACAAGCCGGTGGCGCAACCTTATCGAAGATTACCACCAAGTCACTACTCTGCGGTGAAAGCACACCTGAACGATCTACTAAAAAAGGGAATTATTACAACCAGCACTAGCCCGTATGCGGCACCGATAGTAGTGGTAAAAAAGAAGTCAGGGGAGATAAGACTGTGTTGTGATTACCGGAAATTGAACAATATCACAAGAAGGGATGCATTCCCCTTGCCTCGTATTGATGAATGTCTTGATGCGTTGGGGGGAGCAAGATTTTTTTCTACCTTGGATTTGGCTAGTGGCTACCACCAAGTGGCCATGCACCCCAACGATCAACATAAGACTGCATTTATTTCTCCACTGGGACTGTACGAGTGGACCCGTATGCCGTTTGGTCTAACTAATGCGCCTGCTACATTCCAGCGAGTAATGCAGAGTGCTATGAGTGACTTTCTATTTCAAATAATGTTGGTGTACTTGGATGATATACTGGTTTACTCAAAAACTTGGGAGGACCATCTAAAAAGATTAGAACAAGTGTTTCTCCGTCTTAGGGAGATAGGAGTAAAGCTGAACCCAGACAAATGCGGCTTCGGTCTGAAATCGGTACATTTTTTGGGTTATGTGATTTCGTCGGATGGCATCGCCACTGACCCAGATAAAATTGCAGCTGTTAAAGAATGGAAACAGCCAACAACTACAGTGGAGGTCAGATCATTCTTGGGCTTTGCTTCCTATTATAGAAAATTTGTACCTGGTTTTGCAAAAATTGCCGCACCGTTGCATGACTTGGTAAACAAAATGACAAAGAAACACAGTAAGGAGAAAAAGAAAGGTAAAACACAACTGATAGGTGAATTATGGACTGATGAATGCCTGAACTCGTTTAAGCTCTTGAAAAAGGCTTTGACAGAGACGCCGATATTAGGATACGCGGACTTTGACAAACCATTTCGGCTAGAAATTGACGCCAGCTCTAAAGGTCTGGGAGCTGTGCTATCACAACAACAAAAGCAAGGTTTCAGGGTTATTGCGTATGCCAGTCGAGCTCTGAAGGAATCAGAGAAGAACATGACAAATTACAGCGCCATGAAACTAGAACTTTTGACATTAAAATGGGCTGTGACTGAAAAATTCAGGGACTATCTATTAGGCGCTAAATGTGTGGTATACACTGACAATAACCACTTGAGTCACCTAAAGACAGCAAAGTTGGGATCCATCGAACAGCGATGGGCAGCAGAATTGGCACTCTTTGACCTGGAGATAAAATATCGCCCGGGGCGGTCCAATGGTGTAACAACATGTATTCTTTGTTGTTGTGGGTTTCATACAGGAACACGAGCAACAGTGGCAACTTGAAATGACAACTTTATTTACACTATGTACAGATAAATCCGTGGTACATCCATATTTGAAGATCAACTGATATAGGTACAAATAATAATCACGACTCCAAGTCATGGAGACATCTTACATCCACTGCCATCGTTCCAGTCCCAAGTCCTAGCACACAACACCCGTTCACCTTTTGCTCTCCCTTTTATTCACAACTTTCTCTCCCCTTACGTCAATGAGCGATCTCACCCAAAAGCATGAAAAAACACATGACGATCGCTCAGACAGTCCTTCCGCTAGCCAGGTACTCTTCATTCATGCAACTTCATGTAAAACACAATATAATATAAACATACATAATTATACAGTCTGTGACACGTCCCCCCTTCAAATAAAATTTTGTGTAACAAAATTTATAAATACAATATTGGTAGGGCAGGACCATGTGCCAGACAAAAAATTTTTTTATATACATCTCAAAAAACATGGAAAATACATTCTTTGTAGACTAATGCACAAGCATTATGTGTAATATATTCAAATATGAGAAAGAAAAACATTTCAATTACCCAGTAATTGTAGTATAAACAAGATCAATGAGTTTAGTAAATTACCAAACTATAATACATAGTTGAAATTATCAAAGACTTGATTCAACTCATAATTTAAATAACTATATCCTATGTGGTAAAAAAAAACTTCCTTATCATCAAGGCATGTTATTACGACGCATGATTAATATACTTTGTTGTCTCCCCTAGTTGACCCATTTCAGACAAATCTAGGTCACAACACAATCACATTCTTGCCTTACACAGGTATTGACTAATACACAATACATCATTGAGACTTCCGTCTTATTGTTATGCGGAATAAATAGTCTCTAACTTTTATTTATTTACTTTATTCACTGTTAATTAATAGTATAGAATAGGTTTAACATAATACAGTTTACAATCTTTTGAAATAGTACACATTTTATATTACTGATACAAATTGTTTGATATCCATATTCTACAGTTACAGACTGTATAATATTAATAAACTGTAAATTGATAATGTATTATTATCCCAATATTTTTATTATAAATGTTGACTTATGTGGTTTAGGGTAGGCTCAGTTTCTGTACTGTCAACATTTTGCCGAGACAAAAAATCTGCTACTACATTATCCTTCCCTTTTATAGACTTAATTTCATACTGAAAATCCAGCAGAATCAATAACCATCTGTTTATCTTGCTGTTGGCTATCCATTTGTTGTTCATAGCTAACAATGGCTTGTGATCGGTGAGGAGAATGAATTTTCTTCCTAATAAGTATTTCTGCAGTTTGGTCATGGACCATACAATGGCCAGACATTCTTTCTCTACGGTTGAGTAGTTTTGTTCCGTTTTATTTAGTGATCTACTCAGATAAAATATAGGCCGTAGTACCTTGTCCACTTCTTGCATTAAACATGCACCCAATCCATAATTTGAAGCATCCGTTACCAGTGTTAGTGTCTTCTCAAAGTTAGGGGCAGTAAGCGTTACTTCATGTTCAAAGTACTGCTTTATTAGCTGTAAAGCATCCTGACATTCTTTAGACCAATTTATTGTTCTACTGCTGTCCTTGGTAATTAGCTGTCTTAGAGGTAGAGTTATATCTGAGTACTTGGGTATGAATTTGCTGTAGAAATTAAATAGACCCAATACACCTTTGACTTCTTTCTTGGTTTTAGGTATTTCTAAGTTGAGAATTTTATTTTTATTTCCGTCAGTAGGTCTAATTTGATTTTTGCCTACTTTGAATCCCAAAAAATCCATTTCTTCATTTGCAAATTTTAACTTTTCAGGTGCAATAGTCGCGCCATGCTCCCTTAATTTTGTTAGTACCTCTCTAACTGACTGCATATGTGTCTTGATATCCTTAGAATGAATACATATGTCATCAACAAAATGTACTACATTCTTTATATCTGCCAGCATTATTCTCATAAATCTGGAGAATGTTGCTGTTGAATTTACTAGGCCAAAAGGCATAACATTCCACTCAAATAATCCTTCATCAGTTGTAAACGCTGTGTAGTGTTTGGATTCCTCATCCATACCTATTTGCCAAAAACCTCGGTTTAAGTCCAGATGAGTGAAAATTGTTGAGTTCCCTATCTCTTCCAATAGTTCATTAGTATCTCTCAGTGGTTCTGCGTCTATTTTCGTGATTTTATTCAAATCTCTATAGTCACAGCAAATTCTTACTTTTCCATTCTTCTTTTTTACTATCACCATTGGTGAAGCTACAGATGAATTTGAGCGTTGTATTTTGTTAGTTTCGATCAAATGATTTAATTCTTTCTTCACTGCTTCTCTGTATGCATAAGGTACTGCATATTGTTTCTTTTTGAAATTAGCATCCTTGTTTAATTCTATGACATGAGTAATCGTTCTTGTGTAGCCAGTATCTTCAGTAATGACATCTTTGAATTCGTTCAATAACTGCTGTAGTTCTTTTCTGTACTTCAGCGGAGTAATTTGCTGGATTTCTTCTTCTGTTTGAATTATGTTCGCTAAGGTAGGTTGTTCCTCTATAATTACTACGCTAGATTGTTCTTCTATTTGACGTTTTGGCAGTTCTTCATCACGACCAACTTCCTCATTTATGTCAGTGTCATGTGTATTAATGTCCTCCATCACCTGAGTTATCTGCTCAGGCATGTTATCGTATTTCCTCAGTAGATCAACATGTACTATCTTTATTGTGCCTTTGATGTCCACAGCATAATCTACTTCGTTCACTTTCTTTTTAATCACAAATGGTCCCTGCCATAATTTGACCCCTTTCCAGGTAGGTAGCCAAACATAGACATTGTCTGTCTCCTTCAATTGCCTGAGGTATCTATTTTTGTTTTTCAATTTTCTCTGTCTACTTGCCTCTCCCTCCGCATTTTGTTGAGCAGATTGTAATCCATATACCATTTTGCTTTTCTTTTCAGTAATGAACTCAAAAGCATCTTGTTCAGTGATTTGAGTGCCAAGTAATCTATCATTTAGCAACGAAAGCGGCCCTCTTGGATTTGATCCAAACATTAATTCAAATGGCGAGTACCCCGTCGCGTCATGCACTGTTCCTCTATAGGCGAACAGTATCGCCGGAATATACTCATTCCACTCCTTAGGATGATCTTCTGTAGCTTTTGCTAGCATTACCTTGAGTGTTTTATTCCACCGTTCACACATACCGTTTGCTTGCGGTCTGTAGATGGTCGAGTGTACCTGAGTAATCTTCAGCAGCTTTGTTAATGCATTAGTCACATTAGAGGTAAATTGTTTGCCGTTGTCTGACAGCAGAGTTTCAGGAAAACCATATCTTGAAAAAATGTCTAATAATGCAGAACATATAGTTTCGGATTTTATATCCCTTAGGGGTATAGCTTCTGGCCATCTGGACGCCATGTCTATTAAAGTTAGAATAAATCTGTGACCTTTTTTTGATGCAATTGGTAGAGGTCCTACTATGTCTATAGCCACTTTCTCAAACACCCTTCCTATTTTATCAGTTGGCTGTATAGGAGCAATATGTTTGCTGTGTAGATGATTTTTAGTTATACATTGCTTGCATTTACCAATGTATCTTTTCACATCCTGATGGATTCCCGGCCAGAACGAGTTGTCAAGGATTCTATTTATAGTTTTCCTGACTCCCATGTGCCCAGCCAAAGGACTATCATGTGCTGTCTCCAAGACTAGACCTTTCAGTGTCTCTGGAATGACTATTTGTGTCCTTTTAATGCTGTTATTCTGAAATATTCTAACCAGTATATCATTTTTTATTTCATAGCAGTGGCCTCTGTACTTTCCTTGTCGTTTATTGATGTTATTCATCAGTTTTTTTGTGACTTCATCCTCTTTTTGTAGCCTTGCCATCTCAGGCGCTGTTAAGTGCGTTTGTACTATAGGTTTTAGCTTCTCTGCGTTATCATCCTGTATAATGGCGTTTACAACCATCTTACCTTTTTTGGCTTGCCATGCTTCTAAAAATTTCATTGAGTCATCCGGAATACCCGGGATGTTGCCAACTATTAGAGGACAAATAGGGTTCTCCATCACAACTGCTGTGAATGAACCCGTAACCCATGGGCAGTCTATTTCAATCTTCGCCATATCACAATGGATAGACATCCTATTAGCTAACCTGACCTCTTGTACTTCTCCGGTGTAATCTGATTCTTTTACCATTGCTTTGTCAACAATCAATGTTGTACAGCCTGTATCCCTTAGGCAAAGTGTGTTTTTCCCATTCAATACCGCTGGGAAATAAAATAATCTTCCATTAGCATCACGGGCAGTAGCTACTATTTGTTTCGCTTCCGTATCACCGTTATTATTTTTCTGCCTTTCAATATTATTAAATGACAGCCTACTTCCTTGGTTGAAAGAATTATTCCTGTAGTCTTGCGGGTTTCTGTTGGTACCACTATAGTATCTGCTTGGACTCGGTGGTGAATATTCCCTACGGTTAGTATAGTCACCGCTGTTTCTATTGTGCTGGTATCCCCAGCTCTTATACCTCCCACTGCTATTAGGACCTTGTCGCTGTCTGTCATTCATATTGTTCAGCCTCCAGCATTCAGCTCGCATGTGACCTTCTTTACCACAGTGATAACATGTTATCCTTATTGGTCTACTCTTTCCAATGTTAGGCAGGCTGTTACGCCTTTTTCTTGTCGGCGATTGTGTTCTCGGTAGCTGTTCGTATCTGCCCGCTACTGTCTGTGCCAGTACGGTTTCCTCTGCCGACAACTGCTCATGGGGGTGTGAATCCCTGAACGTTGCCACCGCTATTCTAAGCTGATCTTCCGTTTTTATTTTCCTTTCTTTTAGAAAGCTGAATAAGCCCTTGCCCGCTTCATCATAAATTTTGAGGATTAGAAACTGATCTAACAGAGCCTTTGGATCAGTTGTGTCTATCTCCGCTAGTTCAAAGTATTTTAGCAAGTTTTCCTTCATTTTAAATAAAGTGGCCGTTGTGTCCAGGTGGCTCTCCAGTTTCATCGCCACAAAGGCTTTTCTATACTCGTCCTCTGACTTCCCATAACAAGTGAGTAGTTTCTTTTTAATATGGTCATAGTCCTTTTTTTGAATATCAGTAAGCGTGCCAATTATGTTTAAACATTCACCTGTGAGCCTGCTCAGCAAAGTACTTGCCCACATGCTTCTACTGTAGTTATTAGTTGTGGCAATGCACTCAAATTGTGTTAGGTAGTTTAATATTTCTTCTCCTTCTCTTAAGTCCCTGAATTTCAGCTGTAATCTGGTTGAGTGCTCACCCGCCTGTTCAGTACTATTTATTCTTCTCAGTTCTGTTTCATGCTTGTGCTTTCTTTCATCATCTTCTATTTTCCAATTCCTTTCCTCTAACCTCCTAGCCCTCTCTTCTGTCTTCCTAGCCTTCTCTTCTTCTTTTTCTTCAGCTTTCGCCTTAGCAGCTTTTTCTTCTCTAGCCTTCTCTTCTTCTTTTCTCTCAGCTTTCTCTTTAGCAGCTTTCTCTTCATCTTTCTTTAGTAGTTCTTTTATAAATGCCAACCTGTCTTCCTTCGGAATGTCAAGTTCCTTCACAAGTGCTGTATATGTTTCAAAATTTGACATTTTGATATATTTTCTATGACATAAAATATAAATTCATTAGTTGACAATAGATAAATGTTAATTAATTTACAATACCCTTTCTTGTATTCTGGCTTTGTTCAGTTGATTAGAGACATCTAGTAATCCAAGAAAAGTTCATAGTACATATATAGTACAAGAATAGTTCACTTTGTTGATTCCAAAAGGTTGAAAAAATTCAAAATAGTTCTAGTAGCCTGTTACAGAGTAGAAATTTGTCCAGTTTTAGATAAGACATCTATAGGAACAGTTTAGGAACAGTTACAAAAATAAACTTGATCTGCTAAATCCAAACAGTAGAAAAACTTGAACAGCTAATCCATATAGAAAAAACTTGAACAGCTAAATCCAAACAGTAGAAAAGAAACACTAAGATTTGATCGGCTAAATCCAAACAGAAAAAACACACAGACGATATTTACTCGACATTGGTGAGACAATATCGAAATAAGGTGATAAAAATTATCACGTCGATGACTTGAACAAAACGTCTGACTTGACTACAGCAACCCTTCTGACTTGAGTGTAGATAGATGACTTTCAAGAACTTGACGTACTTGGTAAACAGTGGAAGACCACAGACTGTAATATCTCCATTTCTGACATATGTAGCACCAATTCTTCAACCACTTGTGACATCATAAGTAACAGTAATACAATGTAGCAACATCACTTTATTGCCTCCACTTCTGACACCATATGTAACAACATGTATTCTTTGTTGTTGTGGGTTTCATACAGGAACACGAGCAACAGTGGCAACTTGAAATGACAACTTTATTTACACTATGTACAGATAAATCCGTGGTACATCCATATTTGAAGATCAACTGATATAGGTACAAATAATAATCACGACTCCAAGTCATGGAGACATCTTACATCCACTGCCATCGTTCCAGTCCCAAGTCCTAGCACACAACACCCGTTCACCTTTTGCTCTCCCTTTTATTCACAACTTTCTCTCCCCTTACGTCAATGAGCGATCTCACCCAAAAACATGGATAAACACATGAGGATCGCTCAGACAGTCCTTCCGCTAGCCAGGTACTCTTCATTCATGCAACTTCATGTAAAACACAATATAATATAAACATACATAATTATACAGTCTGTGACAAATGGCAATGCGGACGCTTTATCAAGGAATCCGTACGAGAGACCGGGCGATGAGGAAGAAACGCTGACAGGAATATGTGAGGTCAGAGCGTCAACAGATATCCCTCACGGGGTGCAAGTGATGCAAAACGGACAGACCGGGGTGGAGCACATATCCACAGAGCCCGGACATATGGACATTAGTGATTTTAATTGCCTTAATCACAAAGAGATAAGAGATGCCCAGAGAACGGATAGTGGCTTACAGCCGCTGTTGAAACACGTCCAGGAACAAAAATTCCCAGGAAGAAGGGAAAGAGAACAATTTGGTCGAGAAACAAAGAAAATACTGAGTCAGTGGGACCGTCTCAGTATAAAGGATGGTGTTCTCATGCGGAGAATTCATGACCAAATTGATGGGACAATACACCAGGTGGTGGTGCCTGGACAATTACGAGAAGAAGTGCTAAGGTTGGCACATGACAGGGCAGGACACCAGGGTCAGGACAGGACGCACAAAATATTACGACGGAGGTGTTACTGGCCCAATATGGAAATGGAGGTCAAACGCCATTGTGAGGCTTGTGTGAGGTGTCAGCATGCGAAAATGCCAGTTGTCAAAATGAGACAGCCATCAGGACACCTATTAGCGACAAAACCACTAGAGATTGTGGCTATGGACTTTACGTCGTTGGAGCAATCATCGGATGGGACGGAACATGTGTTGGTAATGACTGATGTATTCACCAAATGGACTGTGGCGGTGCCCACACGAGAGCAGACTGCCAAAACAGTGGCAAAGGTCTTAATAGAACATTGGTTCATCAAATATGGCATACCAAGACAATTACACTCTGACCAAGGAAGGGCCTTCGAGTCAGAAGTAATTAACCAACTGTGCAGCCACTACGGGATCAACAAATCTAGAACAACCACATTTAATCCGAAAGGAAACGGACAGTGCGAGCGGTTCAACCGCAGCATGCATGATTTGCTGCGTACCCTAGAACCTGAACAGAAAAAACGTTGGCCTGATTTTCTCCCAGAGTTGGTATATCTATACAACTGCACCCCCCATGCCACAACCGGCTTTTCGCCACACATGTTGCTGTTCGGACGGGAGGCTCGACTCCCCCTTGACTTGTTCCTAGGAAAAAAGGAGAGTATGACTGGCTCATACACTGCACTGGAATATGTGAATGAACATATGAGACGAATTAGAGAAATGTACAGGGTAGTACAGGAAAGACTAGAACATGAAGCACGGCGAAGGGAACCGCCGGTACAGACAAAGGACCCGCCACTCAAACTGAACGACAGGGTATTACTGCGTAGCCACCCGTTAGGCAGAAACAAAATCCACGACCTCTGGGGACAGGAGATATGGCAAGTCGTGGAGATGCCTAAAGTAGCAGGTGGCCCCATTAAGATAAGACCCATCGATCACACCAAACCGGATCGGTGGGCGAATATTGCTCAATTAAAGAAATATTGTCATAGTCAAGAAGAGCAGTTACACACAAGGAAACCCAAGACAATTAGGGAACCGGAAACTATAACGGAAATTCACATACCCATCCCGGAACCATGTCACCATCAACAGAACAACAGCGATACACAAGTGGAGGATAACGGCAACGAAGAGGATCCCGTTCCTCCCAGAAGCAGAGAGACAGTAGACCATCAGATAAGTGGTCCGCGGAGAAGTTTGAGAAACAGAAAGAATACGAAATTTTTTGTCAGCAACCATCAATTCTTTCATGGTCGCGCTGGTATGAGAACAGACTGTTCAAAAAGTCATAAAAGTGAACTGGTGAGGGCACCAAACGAAAAAAGGTGGATGTGAATTCTAGAACTGTTTTGTGTCTGAGGAAGATGATGTAGACACATTTGATATGTGAAATAGGGATAACTGTCAATCTTATACGAATGTGACGACATTGACAGTGAGTGGAACAATAAATTTTTTTACGGTGGTGCGATTGACTTTGAAGGACTGCACCTGCCAAGCGTTGTTTGTGGTTGATAACACACAAAAAAAGGCAGGGGTGGATGTAACTAGGGGAAGTTACCAGGGACATAAGAACGCAGTACAGCGCTGTCAACTTTGACACGACTGATGTAATAACGCAGGTGTTGGCTGATAACGATCAGAAAGCCAAGGCGTAGTATTTTGGGAAGCGATACGATAAGAACGCAATACGGTCTGTCAACTTTGATGTGACAGGATGCAGATGGCTTATTAAATCGGACTGTACGACAGAAGCGGCGTAATTAACATTCTGATGCAACGATTAGAATCGATTACGATTATGATAGAACCGAATACGATTACGAATACGAAGGGGATATATAGGAAGGCGACGGCTGAGCTCGCCGCCTCTCTCTCTCGATCAGTCAGTCAGTGTGGCAGTATCAAGTTGGTTATTGAACGGGTTAGCCGTATTGTGTTAAGAAGGACGAGAGACATGTGCATTCAGTTATGTGAAGACTAGTGAGGACTGTTGGGGGTCAGTTGATTCAGACTATTATTGTGAAGCATTCCTTTTGATTCATTATATTATTGTGAAGCATTTCTTTGATTCATGTAATAAAAGGATCAATAGCGAACCTGCATCTTCGAGTATCTATACTGTGGTCGATGTTGTGTAAAATGAGTGGTTAGACTCGGTAACATTTGGCGTTGTCGAGCAGAACTCGTTAACATTTGGCACTACAGGCAAATAGTCTCGTTACATATATATATATATATATATATATATATATATATATATATATATATATATATATATATATATATATATATAGTATATATATATATATATATATATATATATATATATATATATATATATATATATATATATATATATATATATATATATATATATATATATATATATATATATATATATATAATCCTGATTAAATATAGTATTAAAATAAAAATCTTAGCGGCTATTTAAAAACTGGGACATTTTATGAATTGCAACTTTTGGCTCTTCCATCTCAAAAGGTTGCCGACACCTGGTATGAGAGTATGAGTGTTGTAGAATGATTTTATAGAGATGATCTTGTTGCTTTGGAAATAAGTTTGAACATTCTCTTTCATTTTTTGCTAAGTTGTAAATGTAGTCAAGTCTTCGTATAACTTGTATCTATCTAGCTAGCGCGATAAAACATAGATTAAAACTATCCTATCCTGTTGTGTCATATGTATCAAATCGTAAATCCAAGATACAAAGTATGGTCGACCCTGTCCTCAACTTGTTTGGCAACAGACTGCCTATTGAGGCTCTATTAATAACCGCCAAAGACGACCCTCGGCTTATTATGTTAGGAACATATTCCATTTTAAATTTGTTTTGTTTTTGTATCAATATAATAAAAAAATAAAACACTGAGAGTTATTTAAACTACCACATTTATGAAAGCAAATTTTGATGATTTTGTCTCAAACAGTTTAGACAGTGTAACAATTATATACAAGATAATGTTTGTTTTATTTAAATTGCGGCGATGCTGAAATGAAATGAAAGCATTCGCTTTTTTATTTTCAAAGTTAAAACACTTAGATAAACCACGAAGTGCCGCACCGGGTGACATCCGACCTAGCGACGCCACTGAACATAGCTAGTGCTTTGTATTCTTCTATTGGATCTGGAATGTAGAAGATAGTGCAAATATTTAGTAAAGAACGTTTGGAAGAAAATGACTGGGAGTTTGGTCGATGTTCTACCCTGTGAGTAATTGCACATGATGTAACGATATCCTCATCTGTATAAGATAAAGATAAACTTATAAACATAAAAACAGAAATTACGAGGGACTAGCTCATAGGGTAAATGGATTGGTAAATATATGCAATGTATAGTTTAATTGCA